AGACTTAAGCTAAGTGTGGATGAGTATATAGCATGAGCTGGTGAGCTCATTGCGATTACAACGAATATGAAAACTATCATTATTTTCCCTAGATGAATGTCTATGACAATCTAAAATTGATTAGTAAACGTCAGTCCAATTCATTTCTGAAACGTAATTCTTATTTAGTTGGTGAAGTGTACATCTTTGGTTTTGTATGCTAGTATGAATCGAACTCATGCTAGAATGTCCTTTAAAAAGTGTTCTCAGGAAAAAAGTCCTCTGGGTTTTGTCTCTCAGAGTAAATACCCTTTAAGAATGGTCTTCATGTGGAAATGTCCTACACTCTGAATTGAAGGTTTTAAATGAAATTAGGCCGATATGTAGATGGTACTGTAATTCAAAAACTTATTGGTAGACGGTTAGATTATTTCTATAAATGCTTAGTTCAAAATGGAATGAACCAAGTAAGAATGAAAAGGATTGCTCTAGTACGATTGGTGATACATATCACAAATTTAAAAATAAGCACGACTAACATTTTTAAATGCCGACGCGTCATTTAAAGATCGTTCATGAAAACTAATCATCATCTTCCTCAACATCAACTCAATCTTCATCATCATCATCACACCTTCGCCCATACCCACACCTAAGAACATTCGCACATTCGCACACACCCCACACCCTCATCCGCACCTCAAGATTTATTACGCTGACTTTCTTTTTCTGTTGCGAATGAAAAATAAAACCAAATAAAATAAAAAATAATTCGTTATTACAAATAAAATTACTTGATCAAAGTTATTACGGATCGTTCTTTAAGGTTTACTGAAAGGAAATTTTTTGAATGGAGGACATTTTTTGCAAGACCATATCACTAAGGACATTTTTTGAAGGTCACTTTTACTAGGGATATTTACTCTGAAGGATATTTTTTTTAAAGGGCATTCTAGGCTGTTACCTATGGATCGGCTTCTCATACCCATCTACGCCTCTAGTTTCATTAGTTTTCCTATCTATCAGCTGTGTAGAAAAAAACTGCTCGTGCGTTTACCCACTTGTCAATTTTTATATATTTGCACCTATTTTTGATGATCACTTAATATCATAAGATATCATAGGCGGCGGAACGTTTTGAATTTAGGGAAGGCTCAAATTTTTTTCAACAAACGATAAAAAGTCGACATTTCGAGAGAAGATAGACTTTTAAAATTCGTTGTCACAACTTTGATTGAAAAATTTTTCTGTATTGATCCATTTATATGGCAGCACAACAATCGAAAATTCTGTTCCTAGTCAAGGATCACTTAACGCATCCCCAGAGTCCCCACCAATTTTGAATTTTTTAGAAGGGCCTGTCATGAGTTCCCGAGGAGTTAAGAAAAATATGAAAAATTTCTATCGAGACTATCCAAAATCTACGTAAAAATCCGAGTGTCTTCGAAAATTTGTAAAAGATTTCTAACTTAAAAACTGAGTGGAGAGTGTCTTAGAAATTCCAAGAAACTCTGTTCACTTCTCGAGATTTCTATGGCACTTTCCAGTCATCTTTTAGAAATCCCTTACGAATTTTCGAAAATACTTTCGAATTTTTACGTAAGTTTTTGATAGCCTCAATAGAAAGTTTTCAAATTTTTCTTAACTCGTCGAGGACTCACGACAGGGACTGCCTGGGGATTCATTAGGTGATTCTCGACTAGGAACTATACTACCAAAATTTTTATTTCCTTATCAACATAAGCATAAAAAAATCTTAAACTTTGCCTAAAGCAAACATATCATAGGTACAAAAACTATTATTCATACCAAGTAACATCTTTTCTCTAGTTTTTTGCAATACACTCAGAACAAATGCTCTTCATGTCTAACTGATCTAGTTTCCCTTAATGAATATGAGAAATAAAGGCATGGTTAAAGCGTTGTTGTGTCATTATTGATCGTAGATATCTTTATTCCATTTATAACACTGAAGCATATATGAGCCGCAGCCGTTGAAGTGAGATTTGTTAACTATAAATGCAATAATTTACAATATTCATGAAACAGATTTCCTAATATATTGTAAGTTAAAGTAAATCACGACGAAATCTGTATTCTTTTCAAATATCTGAGCCTCTCCAAGCCTAATGGCTCCGCCACCTATGCTTCTAGGTTTATTTTCAAATTTGATATATTAATATAAAATTTACTGTATGAATTAAATTTATTCGTCAATAATGAAATAATATTTTCTAACGAGCTTTTATTTCTTATCTGTGTTAATCTTATAGGTTGGTACCGTCAATACGATGCTCATAAAGATGATTTCATCGAAAGATATGGTACTAGTACAGAACAATGGTTGTTTCATGGTAAATTCGTTATTCATTGTTTGTATTCTAATTTTTATGTTTCAATGAAATAGGATGTAAATCAACAGCAATCGATGCAATTATCAAAGATTGTTTCAATCGTAGCCATGCTGTTCGATTTGGTAATTAGATCGACTGAAAAGAGTTAGATCACTTCCTATTTGATGATATATCTTTAGCTGCGGGACAAGGCATCTATTTTGCAACTCAAGCTAGTACAAGTTTAGGTTATACACAACCAACTGCAAATAATCTTAGACATATGTTTATGGGTGAGATATTCGATTTTTACATTTTTTAAAGTCACCTTTTGTAAAACTTAACTTCAATCTTGTTGCAAATAGTGGATAATGATTTATTTATTTATTCGCTAAGAAAATAGAGTAAATCACTATCAATTTTTCTCTTTGTAGCTCGTGTTTTAGTCGGAAGGACAACGGCAGGAAATCAATCAACGCGTGTTTGTCCACCAGGCTTTGATACGACTGGGGGAGGAACAGTGTTCGTTACCTATCATGATGCTCAGGCTTATGGTGAATACTTAATTTGTTTCCGATAATATTATTACTTTATTTCTTCCTATGCTCATAATGTTCTGTTTTTGTAATTTAATACTTTTGGTATTATCAATTATTGACATTTTGTTTATCTTTATAAAATGATTTTACACCTTCATTATACACTGTTCCTAATCGTTTCTACGTAACTATCAAAAAAAGGAAATTTTCATGATAGTATTGTATTATGTAAACAGACTTTTTTTATAATAAATAATAAAATAATTCAATAAACAAGACGAAAATGTTCAAAATATGAAGTTATCTTGCTTATACCACAATAGATAAGTAATACGACGTAAAATATCAATGAAAATTATTTAATATTATAACTGTATTTATCAGTAGACATGTTTGCATATATTTATCGAATCTTATAATGTAAATAAAAAGGTTTTGTAAAATAAAATTCAGAAGCACTGTTGAAATTGAATGGTGAACATTCACACCCACATCTTACAAATAGCAGTGCATATTTTAAGTATTTTATTTGCACCCTTCAGTCTCAGCAGTACACTTATTGATTAAACTCAAATGTTATTGTAGGATCTATGAGAAGTTCAATTAAATTGCATATAATGGTTCATTGAATTCTTCTCATCTGTATATAAGAGTGGAGAACATTAATTGACACACTGAACCATCACAGTCAGTGAATTGTGTCGTTGACAATTGAGTAGTTCCCTCATGTTTTCATATTATTATCCTATAAGAATTACACCAGTAAGCTTTTTATTTCCAAACAAATCAATTTATAGATCCTAAATATTGTATCTGCATTTTATTCATTGCAATGATTCAACAAACTTCTTCTTTCTTTTCTTTTTTCTCGATACCTGCAACTATTTTTCGACAGATGACACTAGACTACAGCGAATTCTTTTACTTATTATGGCCATTATTATATATTATGTAATATATATTCTTACAATAAATGTTTCAAATAAACTTCTATTTAAAAATAATAATAATTAAAAAATTCATTTTACTAACAGTGAAATAGTCTTTGAATAAGCAATTATAAACCATATATTAGTCATCCGACACTTTTTTCCAGTCAAGGTAACATTTTGTATAATTTTGTTCTTTTCTTCGGTTAACTGTCAAGTTCGGCAATTTCGAAATTAAAAAGATACAATATTGTAATAGTTTTCATTAAACTAAAACTTGATTGTACAATGGCTGCTACTTATGGACAGCGGCAACGAGTATGTTCTAGTATTCTATTTTAATGAAAACATTTTAATTTGTATTTTTTTTCCTTTAGACCAAATATCGTTTTCTTATGGGTATCAATGGATTTTTACTAGCTTTTGCTATTTTTATTATCATTTCAATGTCTATCTACTGGGGTTTCTTTGAAGAGTGGACTATTTGGACTGATTATACCATGGCTTGGGTATGATAAAGTTGTTTCACTTTCATACCTTATTTAAATCTTTACTTTATTTTAAATTATAGGTTGAATTTAATTTTTTTATCTACTATTGGGATCGTTTAACAATAACTCGTGCTTATCTTTCATTGATTTACATATACGGTTTTGCTCTTCTCACAAGTATATTTAAAGAATAGAAAAAGAGTCTTTCAATTGTGAAAAATTCATAAAATTTTCTGCTTTAGTTATTGCATTACAAATTCATAGTTATCGTCGTCGAAATGCATTTCTTATGCAATATGTTCCATATTCATTACTTGGTTTAGCTATAATAACAATACTTGGTGGTTTAGCTTGGTTTGCAGTAACAATGATAAATATGAATGCTGGATTTCTGACAAAGGAAACATTTTTACTTGAAAGACTTCGTTTTAAAGGCAATGCTTTTAAAGAATTAAAATATCGTGAACAAGCATTTCATCTGGTAACATCGGGTCGTGTGCCACCACGTGTTTTTATTTTAACTGCATTTGTTAACCAGTAAAAATGAATAACTTGAATGAGATTTTAAAATCAAATTTTATTTTTTAGACGTCAACGAGATTTTAGTTGTTGTGGTTGGAATTCGTACCTTGATTATACAGGCGCATATAAAACTGATCTACCGGATACATGTTGTCATAAGGTTTTTCTTGAGTCAATATTCTTTATTTGAAATAGTTTGTCTTTGTATGTTTCAATTTCGTTTAGTATCAAAGAAATTTTGGTTGTGGTAAGAATATGTTAATTAATCCTGATTCGAAAGTTGTTAACACGCGCGGCTGTGGCCCATTAATGCATTATTGGTATCGGCGTGGATTTTGGGAAAATATATTTATGAGTTTATTTGGCGTATTTATGGGTGTTTATATGATATATGTATTTCAACAAAATCGAAAAGAATTTGTTCAATTACGCGATGAAGCTGATGATAGAAAACGTATTATACATACACAATCCATGGCATCACTTCGTTCAGCCAACAAAAATCAAACAAAAGTTAATCCATCCAATTACGCATATACTGGCATGAAAACCACAAACACGAACGATGCAACTGGTATTTATGATTCGGATGATGATAGTGCAAGTGTTCTCTATGAACCACGTCCAATGAATAATTTTAATAATTAAACAGAATTAACGAAAACAAATACTCAACTCCATGTATATACGTATATTATGTATTATGTTAGAATATCTCGAAAAAATAAATCTTATATTCGATTTTGTTTACTTCCTATACCTATAATGAGTGAGAAGTCAGTTAGTATTCCTTTGATAGGATATCGAATTTCGACGATACTCGAACAGTATTGCTTAGGACAGAATAAATAGATAATCCAATAAAACGACAATTAGGAATGAAGGAGAACAGTAGTCGCCTTGATTCTTGAAAAATTCGTATGCCATTGTTTTGTGATCAAGTGTACAAGAAATTTATTCAGTTTTGAGTAAAACAGTAATTTAATTCAAGAAGTCTTTCTTTGTTAGCAATAGAAATATAATTTCGAGTAGGATATCCTTAGAGAAGTAAAGATAATTCCCGAAATGTTAAAAATTTGCATCACAGCCTAATAATGCCCAAATATTTCATAGTTCATCAATTCTTAACAAAATGTCGAATTCGTCCCTCCACTAACCGAGCGACTATAGAATATTTCTACTTTTGAGAATCAGATTTACAGCACGATAGATAATCGTCGAGTTTATTCCATGTCGACGAGCTGACTAAACAACAGTACTTCGAATTTGTGATCGGAAAAAGAGTTGTCTCCCTTCTGATGAAATGATGTATATATTCCAATTTTGAGATTGTTTCTTTTCGAGATTTTTTTTATAACATAAGTATGTGTTGTATGTCTCTAACGTTTTGATCTGAGTTTTCTTCACTTTCCATATTATTTGCATTCCTTTTTAAATAGTGTTTTGTTTTTATTAATGATAATTTTGAATAAGATTTTATATGTAATGTTAGCTCAGCACAAATAAACAGTATGATTCAAAAAGAAAAGAATTCTTCTAGGATTGAAAAACAAATGTTTTATTGCATCATACGTATATGTCAAAGTAATGATGTCTTTCATGTTGGCAAAAGACATGAAAATTGATTCAGTTTAAGAATTCACTCAACAGAAAGAATTACTTAATGGTTAAGAAAAGAAAACTGATTGATACAGCTAGATTGACAATAAAACTAAATATAAAGAATGGTTTTATCAAATAGAATTTTAAATCTCAGCAAATATGTCAAAAGAAATTTCATATGATGATATATCGTGATAAATATCAGCACATACTTTAGAATACTTGTCAATTATAGTTCAATTTGTAATCTTTATTGAAATAATTTATGGTGATATATGTCAAATGTCATTTTCTTTTCATTATCAAAGATGAACTAAAATAAAATATGCTTCAAATTCTCTTCATCATAAGAAAACGGCATAATCATTATTCTGCAGTGTTTGTAGTAAAAGCTTTTCTTTTCACATAATCGTATTACTATAATCGTAAGTAAAATGCATACACTAATGGAAATCATCTATATTTAGTTGCTATTTGATTTCTTTCAATAATATTAGAATAAAAATCTAAAACATAATATTTTTTATCCGGTACACAATCTGCATGTTTACCATTTATTTTTTGAAATATAGTGTGTTTGATAATAAATATGATCGCATGTCATGTCACTATGTGCATCTGGTATACCTACTATGCTCATAGTAAGCCATTTACAGGAAACATAAATTTAAAAGGATACTCTTATACAATATTTCAAAAAATGAAATGTTTAGATAAATTTGACTGTCTTTTGGTAAATTAATGCTCGTACTCTTAATTTGAGATGTTGAATGATGTTTTTTTTAAACTAATCCTCTTTTCTAATATGACGTGACTTTCTCTTCCTTTGAACAAGAAAAATGCTGACATATTTAATAAATCATGTTTCTCGCTCATCATAAGAACTATATAGATCTAAATAAAAATCGATGCATATAATAGATTGCCTCTTCATCTTCTTATTCATATTACTGCCTTGTTTTTCAGACAGATAATCAATAAATTTGAGTGTTCGAAAATGAAAAGGTATCACTTGTTTTAATTGATAGGTGTAATGATTTATTGCTTCTTATGAAAAAACATTGCCAGGTGAGAATAAAATTTGTGAATTATAGATTCCAATAAATTCTAAATATCTTACGAAAAGTTCGTGAATATAGTTCCGCTTTATAGCGAGATACCGATTCTTTAGAATAGATAGACGACAACTTGAGATACGATTTCAAATTATTTTCACTAAATCCCATGAAAATATGAACTGATCAAAATATTGATCCTTACCATAGGTAGTAAATGTAGCATAGTTTTCTTTTAATATAAACTTCATACATTCGTAACTACTCATTCAAAAAGGGTGATTTTATTTTCAATATAAGCGAGATTTATTCAGATTTTTATGTACACAAAATTATATATATATATATATGTCGTGCCGAAGTTACACTCTTTGCCGAAGTTATAACTTCGACGATTATCTTTGCCGAAATTATAACTTCGGCAATACAACTTGTCGAAGTTTAACTTCGACAAGCAAATTTTGTCGAAGTTACTGTGAATGATTCGATAAACCTAAAACGTTAAAAAATAAATGTGGAAACTTCGGATTTCATCCGAGAGCTATGTGTACTGCAAAAAGTGCATGCGACATGAGTCATTCTAGAATGCCTGAACACGAAAATTATCATGAGAAACTAGACAATTTGATTTCTGGATGGAGTTTTTGTGAATTTTGAGACGTTTTTCAGGCGATGTTTCGTTAGAAAGCTATGACTTAGTTCAAAACTAATATCAGATTTAGAATCAGCGTTAAAAACTGAGTCGATTTATATATGTTGTGAATAATTCTGAGAAAATTTTGTTTTTGAAAAATCCCTGTACTCCCCCTCAGGGATGGTCTGATCAAAAATGACAATTTTTTCGACAACTCAGCCATTTCTTGACGGATCCTTCTCATCTTTGAACTCGACCTAGATATTGATAAGACAATTCTGTGCACAAAATTTCAGCTCAATCGAATGTAATTGTGAAGAGTTATCGAATAAACGGACGG